AGTAACTGGGAGGAGGGGATTTATGGGGGGGGGGAAAGAGGAACAAATGTAATCTGAACAATAAAGATTTTATTTAAAAAAAAGACACAAAAGAGCAATATATGGGAAACAATTGATAAATAGAACTACATTAAAATTAAAAACATCTCTTCATCAGAGACACCATTAAGAAAATGAAAAGTTAAGCCACTTTTTTTGGTGTGATACATATAAATGACAAATGACCCATACTCAAAATATATGTTTTTTTTATTTTTTTATTTTATTTTTATTTTTTTAATTAAATCTTTATTGTTCAGGTTACATTTGTTCCTCTTTTTTTCCCCCTCATAACTCCCATCCTCCCAGTTCCCACCCCACCCTCCGCCCTCACTCCCCACCCACTGTCCTCATCCATAGGTGCACAATTTTTGTCCAGTCTCTTCCCGAATCTCCCACTCCCCTTTCCCCCCCCAAGAATAGTCAGTCCATTCCCTTTCTATGTCCCTGATTCTATTATAATCACCAGTTTATTCTGTTCATCAGATTATTTATTCACTTGATTTTTAGATTCACTTGTTGATAGATGTGTATTTGTTGTTCATAATTTGTATCTTTACCTTTTTCTTCTTCTTCCTCTTCTTAAAGGATACCTTTCAGCATTTCATATAATACTGGTTTGGTGGTGATGAACTCCTTTAGCTTTTTCTTATCTGTGAAGCTCTTTATCTGACCTTCAATTCTGAATGATAGCTTTGCTGGATAAAGTAATCTTGGTTGTAGGTTCTTGGTATTCAGCACTTTGAATATTTCTTGCCACTCCCTTCTGGCCTGCAAAGTTTCTGTTGAGAAATCAGCTGACAGTCGTATGGGTATTCCCTTGTAGGTAATATTAAAATAATTAAAATAATTAAAATTAATCAGAAAAAGAGAGATAACCAAATAGAAGAATGGGCAAAAGATTGAATACCTCAGAAAATTGAATATCCAAATGAGCAATAAATATTTTAAAATATGCAAAACCTCATTAATCATCAGAGAAATATAAAATATAGTAACAATGAGATACTATATATATATATATATATATATCCATCAGAATGGCTAAAATCAAAAGGATTTACAATCCAATGTTAGAGAAAGCTTAGAGCAAATAAATCTTCATACATAGTTGGAGCAAGTATAATGGTACAACTTTAAAAAAAACACCTGACAATGTTAGCTAAAACTGGAAATGCACATAATCTGTGATGGGTCAGTGCTACTACTGGGAAACAGAAATGAATACATATATGGGACAAAAGTTGAGAGAGGTAGTGTGTGTGTGTGTGTGTGTGTGTGTGAATGTTCATAGCAAGTATTGTTTGCAATAGCTACAAACTAGAAACAACCTGAATATATTGTAGAATGGATATATAATTTGAGATGCTTAAAGTGGATAGTAAATTTCTGTATTTGCAGACTATGAGGACAGACATTTAGATACAAAAGCAGTCAAATAATTAGACAAGGCCCATTTAAAAGGAGCCTCCTATCAGTGAGCCAAAATTGGAGAAAGCTCGTGTATGGCTTCAGAATCACGGTGCAGAAAGTATTGTTCATGGTCTCCTATGAGATCTATGAATAATTGGGGGTTTTGGGTCAAATAATGCCAATCATGAGAACATGGACAGAAAGTCATGGGCAAGTTATAACTTCCTCCAAGTGAAAGTTCAACAAAGACCTAAGAGAATGTCTCCAGGGAAACTGGGGCTTTGTTTCTGGGTCAGGAAAAACTAACTTCTCTTACCAGTGAAAGCAGGTGAGAGTTTAAGGTGAGGGAATCACCAGCTAGAGAAGAAGTAACAGGTCTAACAAGCACAGCATAATTGGCCTGCAGAGATTTTATCCCTGAGGGAAAAGAAAGTTACTTCTTCCAAAATCCCACATCCTGCTCAGCTCCACCCTTCCTGGGGCATTGCTGGCCTGTCCTGAAGGTAAGAGAGTCATGCTCAGAGAGTGGGTTCTTGGGACAGGAGTCAGGAAACCAGGCTTTCCTTAACACACAGCTCCTTCCTAGTCTCATGTGATAATTGAATTGAATTGGGTTACTGGAGAGATATGTCCCATTTTGAGGAGCCAAACTGAGGAGAAAGTTCTTTTGGAAAGTTCTTTCTCCTCTGAGAAATGAAGCACCTAGCACAGGTTTTGACAGCATTCATAGGAATCACTGGGCTTAGCTACTACAGGTCACATCCCCTGTACTGCACTGCGCCCCTTAGCACCTGCCCACTGGAAATCTGGACCCAGAGGACAGGTTTGTGCTGACCAGCTCATTCTGAAATGATAATGGTCAAGCAGTATAGATATGCATAAGGAAGTCGGGATGGAGTGGGGAGAACAGCTTTGCCAATGAACATTTTGGGGAAATCTCAAGGTTTCCAGATGGATTTTTTTCTTTAAAGATCACTTGTGATTAACTAGCTTGAATCACAATTCTAGGGGAAAAAGGGGGTACAGGAATGCCATCATTGCCAGTTAAAACACCTCCATTTTACTTTTGAAAATCTGTTTTAATCTCCATTTAATATCAAATTTTCAAAAAATGTTTTAAACTTTTATTTTATTTCTTAACTTAGTCATTCATTTTACTATTGGTGTTACAGCCTTATTTTTTAACCTCCCAACTTTCCTGCCTCTAATGAATTAGGACAGACTTGAAATTATGTTTCCTTTACCCAGAAGAAGAAACTAGGTAATGAGAGTTGAACTGGAAAATTAAAGTTCATTGGCAAAGGAGTTCACTCACTCCTAGGGAGAGGCACTTTACAAAGCATGAAGATGATGCAGAAACAATGATAGGCTAACTAGGGGTATTTCTACTTTTGACCAATACCTTTGTGGGCTTTTAAGGAAAATTGCTGACCAAAGATCAGGGATTACATTCTCTTTGTCAAACCCTTAACTAATTATTACTAGTTTTTAAGAAGTGAAAGACTCAAAACTCCAAGAGATTTACATTAGTCAGGTTTTTTGTTTGTAACAAAATCTTATTTGGTACCTGAGAATACATTAAATAATCACTAATCATAAGTTACCTCCTGCACTATTATTTTTCTTTTTGCCTTCTGCTGGTGAAATTCCTTTACATAAATTGTTTCAGTATTGTAGCAGAATTGGAGACTACCCCGTTCTCCTTCCTTAGCTTAGCTCATAAAAGATCATGCATAGGTGGTCAAGCTCCATTGATGAGCCCTAGGCACAAATTTTTCCCCTGTGAAATCACTTGTCTTTCTCTTATACCTGAGACCCTTAACAGTGATATTTTTGTATTTCAAGTTTTCTTTTTCACTAGGGACAAAAAGGTAGGTTTCCTATTTCTTTGATAGAGATATTGCAAGGTGACTTGTTAACCTTTTGAAGTTCTAGAGTAAGTTTTAAAGAACATTCTGTATTTTTACTGCCTCTCCTTGTGTCCACATAATTTATCTCTTGAAGTGAGAATTGTTTATCAAGCTTAATTTATTCATAGATAAAAGAAGGATTGTCATATGCAGATGCCCATGGACCCCTTTCTTCTGGCTAATCCAAGCACCTCTGGCAGCTTCCTTATCCACAATTAGTTGCTCTTACTGTCATGAATACCCTCAACACAAAGTCTGATTCCCATAACATATTCATTGGTACTATCTGATTACAGCAAGCAAATAATATCTCCTTGGCACTGCTGTGTATGGGTTTCACTTTCTCTACCTAAACGGCAGACTAATTCGAAGGACAATATGTGGAAAACTGAGAGTGGGCTTTGTTGAGTCCATGAGGTTTTTGGAAATCACTTGTGACTTGAATAAGGTGCAAACAGGATTAGTAGAGATAATACTAGAGCTCCAGAGAGAATACTAGAGTGCTTGAGCTTTCTGAAATACCAATATACCAGCAGGATTAGAAAGTTTAAGGATGGTATTGAGCAGACTAGCCTATTGCCTTTTGTCTTGCGAATCATGATAGAGGGAGTAGAGTGCGAGGATGAGAGAAGACAGTTTCTTGGGGGGTGGAGGGAGGCACAGGATAGTCGAGTATTTCAGATGGGGGAAAAAAGGAAAGGAAAGAGTTAATCAACAGTCATTGTACTGAGTTAATTCCAGTTAATTATTTTCCATCACATTATAGTCTCCAATCCATCACGATCACTGTCCAGGATACGTACAAATAGAATCAGTGGGAACGCACAGCCAGCTTTCCATTACCTCTTAGTTAATAGGCTAATATGTATAGCAAGTATTTGAGTTCTTCTTATTTCTTAGGGAAGGTAGTTAATGCCTCCCTGACTTTGATTTATTTCTTGACAGTCGTGCCTGTCAAGAAACACATGTATGGTGTATGTATGGCAGTCCTCTTAGCCTCTCATCCAGATAAAAAGACAGGCAGGTGAAGATTTTTCAAAACTAAGCCCAATGGCCAGGTCTTCATTCTTTATGTCACTGTCTCTGAAATGTAATTTTGACCATTTTTTTTTTGCTATTTAAAACGTCTATTGTATATTTGCCACATCCTAACTTATAACCCCACATTTCTTATTTCAAAAGGTGAAAATTGAGTGTTTTATTATCATAGAGAATCCAGGTGTAAAAATGTCATTAAAAAAAACCTGTTTCTGCCTGTTAGGTTCCATTTAATATGGATTTTGAGAGAGTAAAGAGGTGAAAACAGGTTTCCAAAGGAGAAGTAGACAAACTTCAGGGTTAAGGATTGGCTCTGAAGAAGAAAGTGTGTTTTACAGTTAATCTTTTACTTAAATGTCTAAGCATTCTAATAAAACCTTTCCTACTTAAGGAAGGAGAATAGAAGAATTTTATTTTCTCCTTGAACTTGAGTCATGTTAATGTGTTTTACTATGGTTCCAAACCCTGAAGGAAACAATTAGGGAAACCACGCCATTTAGTTTTAGATGGCTATTTGGTCTACATGCCCTATCAGGCTCTCTGCCACCTTAAGTATCTGGTATTTATTGATTTATAACTGGGGTTTGTCTTCAGAGACTCATGGGCAGGGAAAACCAGACTTTGGTGAGTGAGTTCATTCTCCTGGGCCTGTCCAGCTGCTGGGAAACTCAGGTCTCCCTCTTCTTCCTTTTCCTGGCCATGTATCTGGTGACCATGCTGGGGAACTTTCTCATCCTCCTCCTTATCAGACTGGACAGCAGACTAAATACACCCATGTACTTTTTCCTCAGTGTCCTGTCATTTGTGGACATCTGTTACACCAACAGCACTGTCCCACAGATGCTTGTTCACTTCCTGTCAGCCTGGAAGACCATCCCATTCCAAAGCTGTGTGCTTCAGCTCTATGTGTCCCTGGCTTTGGGTGGGTCTGAGTTCTTCCTGCTGGGAGCCATGGCCTATGACCGCTATGTGGCGGTGTGCCACCCGCTGCACTACACAGTCATCATGCATGGAGGGCTGTGCCTGAGGCTGGCTGCCGGCTGCTTGGTGGCTGGTTTCATGAATTCACTGATGGAAACAATCATCACCTTTCAGCTTCCCCTGTGTCACAACATTATTAACCATTTTGCCTGTGAGACCCTGGCTGTGCTGCGGCTAGCCTGCGTGGACATCTCCTTCAACATGGTCATGGTGGCCATCTCAGGATTTCTGGTGATCATGCTTCCCTGTTCCCTGGTCCTCTTCTCCTATGGTCATATAGTTGCTGCCATTCTGCGTATTCGCTCTGCTCAGGGACGTAGCAAAGCCTTTGGGACCTGTGCTTCCCACCTCACTGTGGTGTCCATGTGCTTTGGAACAGCCATCTTCACATACATGAGACCTGAAGGTGACTCCTCAGCAGAACAGAAGATGACCACCCTCTTCTTTGCTGTGGTGACTCCAATGCTGAATCCTGTAATCTATAGCTTGAGGAACAAGGAGGTGATGAGTGCCCTAAGAAGAGTGGTGAGAAAACTTAAAAAAGGTGAAGTTTCAAAGGAGTCCTACTTCCCTCCAACAGCCTAGAGAACATTTCAGAGAGGAAATGATTGACATGTCCTTTCTCCTCAGATTTGCTGATAAGGTAAATAGTGAGCACATCCTTTTTAGACTGACTTTCCACACCAGTCCACATTTTCACTATGTATCATTGCCCTGTTATACATGTGGTAAAAAAAAAAGAGCGTTCAGTTATTAAACAGAGGTCTGCTGGGTAATCTGTCCTAGAATTCATATTTCCCCATCCCTTTCATAGTCCTCCTGCATATTCCCTCAGGAAGTACCATGTGGACAATGAAAAGTTTCAGGCTGAGTACAACCATACTTCACATCTTGACCCAACGCTCACCAGCAATATGGCTTTGAAAATGTACTTAAGCCCTAACTGGTTTGGCTCAGTGGATGGAGCATCAGCCTGCGGACTGAAAGGTCCCAAGTTCGATTCCAGTAAAGGGCATGTACCTTGGTTGCGGGCACATCCCCAGTTTGGGGTGTGCAGGAGGCAGCTGATCGATGTTTCTCTCTCATCGATGTTTCTAACTCTCTATCCCTCTCCCTTCCTCTCTGTAAAAAATCAATAAAATATGTATTTTAAAAAAAAGAAAATGTACTTAATACCTCTGACCTCCAGTTTCCTCAACTATAAAAAGAATAACCAGTAAGTGTTATTATCCTGAAGATTATAAGTAATCAATATAAAATACCTAGTAGAGTGGTAGCATAGAGTAGATATTCAACTATTTTTAAAAATATTTTTAGGACACAACTACAGGACTAAGCATTATGCAACTTTCTTTCTATATACAATTATTCAAAATGAACTTTTTTCCTATTGCTTTGCCTGTAGTAGATCACTATCCCATGTCTGTGATTTTACAGAGAACCATGGCCTCTATCTATCTATGTATTTATCCATCCATCCATCCATCCATCTATTCTAATCTATTTATCTGTCAAAGCTAAAGTTCTTATTTTTCTTATCTCCAATTCAAACAAGAGGTTTCTCATGTGCTCCAAACACATATGTCTACTGGCTTACTTAACCCCTTCACTTATCACATAGGAATCTCATTTTTAACATAATTAAAATAGAACTATTGCTTTTGCTTCTTCTAGCCCAGGGTACTCCTTTCCTTTTGTCCCAGTATACCTTGACTGTATTAGTAAAAGGAACCATCAGGCACTCAAAATAATTTCTTTATTTATTTTTAATCCTCACCTGAGGATATTTTTTTCCATTGATTTTGAGGGAGAATGGAAGAGAGGGAAAGACAGAGAAAAATATCAATGTGAGAGAAACACATGGATTGGTTGCCTCCTGTGTGAGCCCCGACCAAGGGCCCAGGTTGGGGAGGAGTCTGCAACCAAGATACATGCCTTTGACTGAAATCAAACCTGGGACCCTTCAGTTTGCAGTCTGATGCACTATCCACTGAGCAAAACTGGCTAGGAAAATAATTTCTTTTATATCTAATCCATCAATAGATTCCATGAGCTTTATTAACAAAATATATGATCAGTCTGCTTTCTACATTTTATTCTTTACATAGCAGCTTTAATTTTTAAAATTATTATTTATTTTTGACTTTATGTTGTGAAATAAAACACAGAAGCAGAAAACCACACTAAACAAATGTGTAACTTAGTGAATTATTAGAATACAATACCCCTTGTAACAAACACTCAAGTAAAAAAGCAGATCTGGCAGCTACGACAGAAGCCCCTCATGTGCTTGTCCTAATCACAACTCCTTTTCCCCCAAAATACTATCTTGACCTTTGTAGCAATCACTTACTTGTACTTCTTTATGGCTTTATTACCCAAACAAACATCCCTAGTCATTGTAGTTCAGTGTCATTACCCAAACAAACATCCCTAATCATTGTAGTTCAGTCTCATTCAATTTGATATGTCTATGAAGTCTCTCTCATTGATCAGTCCCCTCTAACTCTTTATTGCCATACAATTTATTTGAGTGACCTGGACCATTTGACCTGAGAAGGCATCTTTACCTTAGGAAATAAATCAGGGCACATCTTTATACTGTTTACAGTAGAATCCAGACTCCACACATGCAAGGCACGATGTGATCCAGCAGTAGCATGCTTCTTCGTCTGTTCCCATCCCCTCTCTTACTGCATTTGTGGCACATTGGTTACCTGGCAAGAGTCAGAAGAAAACAGATAAATCTCTATAAAAGGAAATTTTATTTTTCCACAAGTCATCATATTCATGGAGAAAATAATTATAGACTTAAGTTTCTTGTGTATGAAAGCTGAGACTTATGCAATGTATTAATTTACTAATAAATACTAATAGCTTAATCATAAATACTGACTTTCACTGGAAATTTTGAATCCTATCAATTAGCATCATAAGTCGTGCTAAAATTTCTGAATAAAATCTCAACAGCAAAGGTTTTTTGATCTCCCACTTTTTAAAAGAAGAAAATCCAAGTTGCTGCCTTGGAAAAGGAGTCTTGCCCTCACCGGTTTGGCTCAGTGGATAGAGTGTCAGCCTGCAGACTGAAGGATCCTGAGTTTGATTCCAGTCAAGGTCTCATACATCAGTTGCAGGCTACTCCCTGGCCCGGGCCCTGGTCAGGGCTCGTGCAGAAGGCAACCAATAGATGTGTTTCTCTCACATTGATATTTCTCTCTGTCTTTCCCTCTCTCTTCCACTCTTTCTAAGAATCAATGGAAAAATATCCTCCGGTGAGGATTAAGGAAAAAGAAAAGAAAGGCAGTGTTGTATTTACCAGCTAGACTATAAGCTTCTTGAGAGCAAGGACTATTCATTTAAGCATATTTGTATTTGTGGTGCCTTAACAATACTAATAATTCCTGCTGATTGAATAGTTTATTGATTGAAATTTTCTTTACTATTTTAGGAGTTGCCTTTTCTGAAGTATATAATGACCATATGTGTTGGAATTTATAATATCCTATCTAATAAAGAGGGAATATGCTAATTGGCCCTCATGCTGTCACAAAGATGGCAGCTCCCACAGCCAATAAGGAGGGAATATGCTAATTGACTGCCCCACTCTCTAAGATGGTGGCACCCACAGCCACAAGATGGCGGCGCCGAGTCCCCTCGGCCCCGCCAGGATGGCAGGCACGCGGCAAGGCCCCGAGGCACAGGCAATCCTCAGATGGTGGCTGCCCAGCCACCTAGGGCTGCCTGAGGCTCAAGTAACCAGGGCCGGCCAAGGCTTGCGCTGCTGGCAGTGGCAGCAGCAGAGGTGTGATGGGGCGTCACCTTCCCCTAATCGCCAGGTCGCTTCCTGCCCCTAAGGGCTCCTGGACTGTGAGAGGGGAAGGCCAGGCTGAGGGAATTTTCATGCACTGGGCCTCTAGTTAATAAATAAATAAAACTTTAAAACTCTCAGGTGCAGAGTGGAATTAATTGATTAATAATACTCCCCAGTACATGGGACATTAATACATTACACAGGCCTTTTATTAATTTTTAAAAATTAATTATTTCAAAATTCCATCTCTACTTTTATTTCTAATTTCTAATGTGTTTGATACATATAATTGAATTGAGGTGCATTTATGTATTTTTAAAAATTCTTCATTGTTTAAAGTATTACATATAGTATTACATATGTCTCCTTTTCCCCCCATTGACCTCTCCCCTGCCACCCCAACCCTCAGCACATGCCCTCACCCCCCTAGTGTCTATGTCCATTGGTTATGCTTATATGCATGCATACAAGTCCTTTGGTTGATCTCTTACCCCCTCTTGGCCCTCTCCTGCCTTCCCTCTGAAGTTTATGTATTTTTTTAAAGTGCATTATATTGTTAACTACTCATCCTTTGTCTATACTACATAACACTAGACTTTAAAGATCTACATGTATATTTAAGACCCATACATATTGCTCATTTATTACTTCTGTTCATAGTAATCCATGGTGCTCACAATATTTTAGCTATAACTCTTTGTTATGGAACCCAACTACCCCTCCCCCATCCCCCCAATCACATATAGCCCCATATTGAACATCATAATATATGCACACTTAAGTACCCATGTGAGAATTTATTTAGGGAATACACACAGCAGTCAAGTTGCTAGGTCATAGAATATTCTCTCCAGAATCTATACTAATAATAGGGTAATATGCAAATTGGCCGGGACGCCATCACAGTAACGACCGATCAGCGGGCTGCATGCGCAGCAGGAGCGGGTGGGCAGGGACTTGCAGCGTTGGGGCCCCAGCCAGGGGCAGGGCTGTGGCGAAGAGGCCCCTCCTCTGCGGCCCCAGTCAGGGGTCCACAGGTGCGCAGAGGTCCGCAGGCCTCTGCTGTGGCCTGGCCTGGGGGCAGGGCTGCAGCGGGGACCTCCATGTGTTTGTGCCAGGGGTCTGCAGGCCTTCCCCAGCTCCGGCCTACCTCTTTGGGGAAATCCATTGAGGAGCCCCGGATGGGTGGACTGGGACTACCTCTTTGGGGCAATGGATCGTGGGGTTCCCACACTGTGACAGGGCACAGGCCAGGCTGGGGGACACCCCCCCCCACCCCGAGTGCACAAATTTCATGCCCTGGGCCACTAGTAGCTTTATAACTCTATACCCCTTTAGTGCATGAGAGTTCTTATCTACACAGAGCCTGCACACTTTGAATTTTTTTCTAGCCTAAAAGATATAAAATTGTTTTATTTTTATTACTTGATAAGTAATTGATATGAATTACTTATGCTGCACTCCTGATTCTTGTCTCCCTTCACCCCACCTTGCTCTATCCATGCCTCCCCACCTCAGTTCATGGTAACTGCGTCACCACTGTGATCAGGCCATTTACTACTCTTTCTCTCACAAATGATTAAAATCTACAAGAATATCCTATTGTTGCTGCTTTCTAGATCTAAACAGAATATGCTCAGTTCTCATTCTCCCACTCTTACATGCTGGTGCAAGCCCCCATCTCTTCCACTTGGGTCCTGCAAAGGTCTGCAACAAATTTCTCTGCTTCTACTCTTGCATCCCAGCCCTCAGAGCAATCCCTTTAAAACATAAC